AAAATAAATAATAAAATACAATATCAGAATAATAAACTAATAAAATAATAAACTGTTCTATAACAATACTAAATAATCTAAAATATCAAAAATAAAATAAAAAATTTTAATAATTGCCAGTTATACTGTATGATTATTGATACAAGTTATTAACAACTTTATTATTGTCATATTGAAGTTGTAAAAAAACAGCTGGTAATGTTTTAACAAAATTTTTTATAGCATCATACCAGCCAAGCTATTATATATCTTTTAATTTTTTAAATATAGCTTAGAACAATCAAGAATTTGTTAATATTCTTGACGAATATAAACTTGTTTTGCAGAATTTTTATAATATTTGTATATCTTTTATAATAGTCTTAGCATTATTGAAATAATTAATTTGCTTTTATGAATCTTTGCAAGTTAATACTAAATGATGTACTATGCAATAATTGTAGACAATATATAGACAAATTTGTGATAATTTTTGTGCAATACTATTTTTATATCTAATTATTACAGATATACTATCTGAAGCAAAAGCTACTAATTTGTCAATAATATTATAACTTTGAAATAGCCAAATTAATTTGGTAGTTATCATTAGGCAGTTGCATTTATTACGTAATATTTTTTTATCAGAGAGCTACCCATGTCAAATTTATTAGCCAATTAAAATCAATATACTATATATATATATTATATACTACATAAGATCTCTCTGACCCCCTCCCCTCTTGATATTACGTAATAAGTGCTACTCCTCTTACTGCATTGTTTTGATCAAGTATTAAAAATTGTAAAAAATGTGTTTTTACATTTCCAGAAATATTTGGATACATTACATATATCAACATGCTTATTCATAGCAATATCTGTACTTTCATTGATTATAATCCCAAAAGATACAGCTTCACTAAGCTCTTTTCATATTTTGGCCTTAATTACATTAGATATAGCAAATGCGAATTCATGACCAGATATTTTATTTTCATAAGTAATAGCACCATCTACAATAAATAAAGACTCTAATTCATAAGATAATTGAACCATATATAGAAGTTTAGCTAGTGGTATATCTTGTACAAGAGTATATACAATTTTTGCAATTCTAATTATATGATTTTTATTTTGTTCTGTAAGTTGTTCCAATTCTTTATTAACTATTTTTTAGCAGCATCAAGTCTTATTGCATCTTTATGTTGCTCTGAAGATGCATGTTCTTTAACAGAACTTTTTTGACCAAAATTTACAGATCCTGTACTTCCAAAAGTGTTTGATTTATTGTAATATTTACAATATTTACAAAATATCCATTGAGAGATTTTGTCAAATTGAAGCCATTTAAACTCATTAAGCCAAGAATTTTTGAAAGCAGGTTTGGATTTCATTACAATCTTTAATTTTTTATTCTTATTAGATAATGTTAATTCTTGGTTACTTTGATCACTTTCATAATCGAATTGGCAACTTTGGTCATTTTCATAATTATAATTGCTTTCATAGTTGCCTTGAATATATTTATGATGATTTTGATTGCTTTGGTTACTTTCGCTTTGATCTATTAGTTAAAAAAAAAATTTTTTTAACAGAATTTATATACATATATAAACTTACGTACATATTATGTATTAATAATGATAAATTTAATATACTAGGAATCGAAAACCGATATAAGTCTGAAGCATAAAATAATTTTGTTTTTTTTTTACGCCAGCCAATCGGTTTCCAATCACGCGATATTTTGTTATATTGCACAAATATGCAATGGCGACAGACGGAAATTGCAAAGTTATGTTTTTGATATTCTGATCAATAATGCATCAAAATTGAAATTTTGGTATCACTTTGCATAGAAATTAAGAGTCCTCCGCTACGCTCTAGACAACTACATATTTTTACGAATATAATTTATTACGAATATAATTTATTACAAATATGATTTATTATGTATATACCATAGAGCACTGCATAAAGTACCTCCAAGAAATAGTACCCCCTTGATTAAGACCCAGATATTATTTACCATACATAAAGACTTAACTATAGTTAGTATCTGGGTACTTTTCAAAGTTGAAACTTATAAAACTTGATTAGTACCCGGGTATTTTTCAAAGTTGGAACTTTATGGACATTGATTAGTACCTGGTATAGTTTAATAAAAAAAGTTCATTATACTGTATATTTCTTTTCTTATAGCTTACAACATCTCTCATATCTAACATAAAACTCTCACTTTTTAGGTCCTAATTTTATTTATTGTATTTATTTATTTTTTATTTTATTTTTTTAATACCCCTCGCGTACAATACCCCCCATATAGTATATCCCCCTAAAATAGTACCCAGTTCCTAACACAGTACCCCTAGGTACTAATCAATTTAAAAAATGATGTTCTTGAATAAGACCCCGGGTACTTTATGCAGTGCTCTACGGTAATTTATTATGTATATTCTAGTGATAAGTAACAGAAATTTTCTGATTGATAAAAAATTGTGTCAGAATTTGTCAGTCATAACCGGAATTTTTGGCATTTTACAATACAATTTTGTGCTCTGGTTCACCCTTTCCCTAGTCCGCCTTACTTTAACCTTAAGCGGTGCTTAATTTTTTGATTTATATGAATTATTTTGATGAGAATTTCTAGGGTGTATGTACACGGGCAATATAGATATCAAAATTTTTGATTATGAAACTACCTATTGGCTTTTAACAAAAAAATTCCTAGTGAAATTTTGGTATAGGCTATATCTTACCTAATTCCAAACCCACTTTTACCCTAACCATAAGAGAGGGTTTGATTTTTTATTTGTAAAAATTGTTTTGATGGCATGTTACATGAATTTGTAATTCAATAAATTATACGTATCCGTGTATAGCATGATAGAAGTTCGTTTTAATTGGATGATCTACCCGTGATTACCCGTGACAATTAACCAATCAAATTACATAATTTTTAAAAATTCATCGCTCTAAAATTACTAAAAGACGAGAGAAAACTTCATATCAAAAAAAATTTCAAACCAACAAATCTTTATATAATATTTTATCACATATATTTAGAGAATAGATTGATACGCATAAAGTAAATAAATGCGATATTTATTATTAGTAAATTCGAAATTATTAAAAATTTACACAATACAGCAATATATATACTAAAATTTTAAATTTACAGTTAACCAACCCAACATACTATAAAGACTAACAAATCTAAACATTAAACCTAAATATCTTGCTACTAAAAGTCTGTACTTATTCAAACTAAACAATTAGTAATAAAAGTTTATTTGAATCAACGTCTTAAGCAAAATACATTCTAATAATCTTACTTTACAGTATAACTTTGCACAGTCCAATAGACGATAGTATGTTTGTCTTCTAAGTAAAGTTTCTTAATTTTGAGACTATATTCTAAATAACTACCTTAGAGTATAATAACATACTAACAAAAAAAAAATTTATGTTTAAGCCGTAAGATTTAGTTTAAATTGACTAAAATAACCAGTAAAAAATTCATATTTTTCTCCGTTTTTACATATAAACGACTATCTCCTATTTGATCCAAAGAGATCCCAAAGTTTTATATGACACTTCAGAACTTGAAGAACGTACTTGTGAAAAAATATTCGCTGGTCATACGAACAACTGGGGGTTGCAATATTATCTAAAAAAAAAAATTTTCGTATGACTTCATATGACAAATATTATAATGCATGATCTACTAGCCAATCAAATTTAATCTGATGATCTGGATCAACAACCAATTGCACATCTGAAATGTGTAACAGGTTTGTAGCATAGCAAAAATCTTTAAAGTTCGTTAATGTTAGGGTTAGCGTGGTTAGCGTTTATAATAAGGTTAGAGGTTAGGTAATT